TTATTATGCAAGAAAGAAGACATGAAAGAAAAAGAGAAGAGATTTTTAAAAATTTAAAAAAAAAAAAAAATAATAATAATAATAATAAATAAGAAATAAAAGGAAGGAAAGAAAAAAAAGAAAAGTAAAATGGTGGAAAGAAAATGACAATGAAAAAACTAAAAGAAAGGTAAGTATCAAAAATGAAATAAGAAAAAGGATGAAACAATATTAAAAAGAAAATAGATATTAAAGAGATAGTAAAGAAAAAAGGTGCAAGGTAAAAAATTCAACCTATTAAACTGGAAGGAAAGGGAAAGTATTTCATGGAAAGTTTCAATTGTTAGGAATATTTCTAAGAAAATTACAAATTTCTGTTAATTAAAACAGATATACACAATATAAAAATGAAAAACATGAGCAGTAATAATGTGCTAGCTAAACTGTCTAGTCAATGGACTGCTAAAATCTGCAGTTACTTAAGTGGATTGATATATTGATTAATACAAAATTATTAATTATTATTACTGAAACATTAATTATATTTTTTGTACACTTTCTTTAAATTTTTCAGTATTTTTCTTCATTTGTGCAGGAAATTTCGAGAAAATAGGTCCACAGAATCGCATTAACACTGCGAATGCCTATACATTGGTTACAATACCCAGCGACCGACTTTACTGCAACATTTGCGCTGAAATTGGCAGATTTATTTTTAATATGCGTGGATGGAATTTTTTCTTTACGAGATAACTCTAAATCAATTTACACATAATTTCAACCTAAACAGAGTTCCAGAGTTTTCACCAACATTTCTGGAGTGTTGAGATTCCAGCTCCCCACTTGTTAAAGGCCATTTAGGCTTCGTTTTCAGCCCGAAAAATTGGCATCACACAGTCGGCCGGCGACACTTCTTATTTAGGTTATAATGTAGCCTAGAACATTAGGCCTGGGCCTGTACAACTTTAGCAAAGTATCTTATACCTACACATATAACGATCTATAGTTTCATTTTCTTGTTCAATGGTTGTTTTTATTGAGAATTATTTAAAAAAAAAAAAATGGTACGCCTTCCAACTTCGAAACTTCAGTATTAATCGCCAGAGAACATCGTCACACTTCCAGTGTTTACAAAGGTTTCGTGGAGTAACATAATCCAAACACTGCAAGTTGCCCCAAATGATGTAATATCCCAGCATTCTGATTGGTTTACAACTTCCAATGGACAAACATACCTTAATCGCCAGCCGGTGTAGCCGGGCGCACATGTGGTTTGGGATGTTACTCCGCGAAATATAGTTTCGTAATTGGAAGGCCTGCTACCAGTTAGTTCGATGCTGTTTTGTTGTTACGTTTTTTGTTGTTGTTGTCAAAACAAGAAACATTCCTTGTAGAATTATATATTTTTTATATATCTCTATTAATTCCACGTTTAAAATTTAATCTTTAAATATTCATTTATATACAATTCAATTTTTATATTATTTCAAAACATGATTAAACAATCATTTTGCTTACTTTCTGCTGACACTTTGTTAAGAATGAAATAAATTGTTTGATAGAGGCCCATTACTAGTTGCCTATGAAATAACTCTGCTTACCTTCTACTACATTCAGTGAGAAACGTTCCCAATTCCAGGCTCCTCCTGGTAGACACAGACACCGAGGTTGCCAGACACAAAGTTATTTACTCTTTGTACGCCGATACGAACAAAAGTAGGTCAGAAGCCGACTGGCTCATTCAGTAAATAAATGGTAGTAAAGGAGTTGCTTTCTATATTATTTCATTTAATTAGGTTTCAAAATTTGCTGTGAGACCTAATTGTTTGTTTGTTTTTTTGTTGTAAATTTCAAGATGTTGCTCATTGAGATGCATCTTGTTAAACTATAGCTGCTCCGTGAAGTCTGGCTGAGGTTATCATCAAAGAGTATTTTATACCCTTTGTTATCATCAGCCATGTGATTGAAGAAGCGTAATCTTATTTCATAATGTATGAGGTTTAGGTAATTGGTTTGGTTTTCAATAAAAGATGTCTGCCTTAATACCGGTAGTACTTTGAATATAACCATCCAGATGATGCCTAATTGATATTTATTTACGATCTATTTAGAGTTAAATTTTGATTATTGCTTGATCTGGGCCGTTTACATCGTTTGAGTCAATACTGTATACGATCATTTGAAATTTCGGTACATAGTCTATTTTATGAACAAATACGTTAAGGAAACGTTCACAATTAGGAGGAGGTACAGGTACAGTAACAGTAGCACTCAATAAAATAGTAAAAAATTGTGCAATCCGATGTTTTTATACCAGTCTCCTTCGCTTTGACAGTGATTGCTTATTTACCAAGAATAAGATGAGCGCACATCGACACGGTTTTAGTGTAAGACGTCACACTTTAACAGTCTAGGTCATGCTGATTGGTTGATACAGTATATGTGAAATGAATGATAACATGTTTTGCGTACTGCCTCACTGAAAATAATGGGCTGTACAAGTTGTAAATAATTGGGATTTGGAGGGAAACCACCTTCCTGCCGCTTACAAAATCTACTCGCGCTACCAAATGACCTTGTCGCACTGAGTGCGACAAAGTTGAATTCCTTGTCGCACCTTAAAAAATCAGGTCGCAAATGCGACCAAATAACCCTTAATTTCAAGCCCTGAAGAGGGTCATATCTTCGGTAAAAAAAGATGAAACGGCTGGTCACAGCACCAGTGTGACCCTACATGTATAGTGTTCGAGAAATACAATGAGATCCAGACACCATATAAAGCTGATCATAAAAGGATTTTATTTTGTCTAATGCCTGCCCACAAGACACAGCTTGCTCACACCGGTCCACCGAGACTCGTCTCTCTGACCAACGCTGTCTCATCTAATTTTAGTGGTTTGTAAATATTTTTATGTTATGTATGAAAAATTAAATGAAACTGCTATCAAAACCTGTACCTGAACTAAATGCTAATTGTCTAAATCCATGAAGCACGCTTTGCAAAGAATAAAACATGGTATGACCACTGTATTTCCGACCTTACGTATAGAAAATAACTGAGTGAGATAAAACATGCAACCTATTTCCTTTTAGTGGTCATATGAGGCATGTTGTAGCAAAAATTAAAATTCAAGTTATTGGTATTTTCAAATACCTGAGTATGTGATCTTTAAAATGAGGGGTCATTCATTCAAATTGGACATTTCAAACCAAAGTTATTGAAAAGTGAAAGTACAGTACTCAGAGTCAAGATAAACAGAATTTTGAGTAATTACCTTTCAACTGCACTGTGGCAGCCGATAGAAAACTGGAGTTTTTTGGCACTACGGCTGTGCAGATAGAAAATAGCAGCTTTTTACACACTGTGGCAATCCCAATAGAAAATAAAAGCTTTTTTCAAATTGCGGCAGTGCCAATCAATAATAGAAAACAGCAGCTTTTTTTCACACTGGGGTAGGCCTGCCCTAAGCCTAGTCCTAGCCCTAGTGCGAAATTGGCACGTCGCCAGTGCCGATGGCCACTACGCCGTACCGTATCAAATTCGGCCTAGCTAGTCTAGCCCTGGCCTAGAAACGTGTTTTAATACAATCATAGTAACAGCAATACACATAATTATATCACAAATGGAGATCATATACTATTTAGAAATAAAAAGAGAAATCTATATTTACAACAAAAATACAAAAATACGTAATAAGCACCTCTTTTACTTGAAATTCCTCAGACAGAGCAGCTCAGCGTCCAACTGATGATGAGCGTGTTGTGGGTGTGAGTGACATGGTTGTTGCCAGATAGTCGACAGGCTTCACGGCCAAACACACGCCATCTCACGGCCAAATTCGGCCAAACTTTTTTTCGA